GGAGGATTTTTAAACTGGGTTTTTTAGAAATTTTAATTATCACAACACAAAAATTTTGGTTTTAATTTGGTTTTATTCGGTGGGGTGTGTGGGTCTTTCTTTGTTTTAATAATGTTGTGAGCCGCCCTGAGTCCTTCGGGAGAAGGGCGGGATATAAATTGAAATAATAAATAAATAAATAAATAAATAAATAAATAATAACAGCTAAACAGTTTTGGCTACCTTTTGCAACTTCTGAAGCCACTTTTGATCATACCACTAACAATTGTTGATTTTTTTTTTCTTAGTATAAGCTTCTTGCCATTTAAGGTAGAAAATGCACAAAAGCTAAAGTGTAAATTATGTTCATTTTTAACGAACATTTTGATCAGTTATCTTCAAACCACCCAAATCCCAGTTCTCGCATCTGAGTGACACGATTTCACCCATCAATTCCCCTCTTTTTACAGCACATGGCCATCAAAGTATAACCTAGCGTAAACCAACTTCCAAACTTTTCCATGATTACACAATTGCCATCTGTTACCTTCTCTGCTGACTTCCCAAGAAAGTCAGTGGAGAAGCCAGCAGAGAAGGTCACAAATGACTGGAATGAGTCTCCCCAAGCCACACCTTCTGTGCTTGCAGCAGCCAGTAGTGTGTGTTCCCGCACAACCCTGTGCATTTTCCCTGACTCGCATCGCAACCCCACATCTTCTCTGACCTGTATCTTTGTCACCTCCTTGGGCACCATCCTCCAGCCCATGCCCCCACACTCCCTCGCTCCCTCCATCTGGCAGCAACCACTTACCTGCCTGTGGCCTGGCACTTGCAACTTCCTGCTGGTTGCCCCACTGATTTTGGTTGTGGGAAGCTGGCAGGAAGTTTCTTCACTTAATAACTGTAGGATTCAGTTAATAATGGCATTGCATAGTAGTGGAAATTCCAGCTCCAATTGCCTTTGTAAGTCAAGGACTGTCAGTGTGTGAGAGAGGAGGTTGTTGAGACCCTATTGTAGCATTCTTTTTCCTTGGTTAAAAGAAGCATCAAGTGACATGTGAGGAGACGTGAATTATGGAAAATGTATCCATATTTTAACTTTAATAGTGAAATACATTAATTTAAAATGATGCTTTATTTTTGCTTCCGCTTACTTTGAAATCTCTTAAAATGGACCTGCCTCCTTTTACAAAGTACAATTTTTTAAAGTGACGTTCAAAGACTGATGTAATCTCAGCCCTTGAATAAGTAGTGTAGACAACAATCAAGATATGTGCAAACCTTAAAAGCGTGCATTTTGAATGCTGCAGGTCTGCCAAGGATGAATTTGGGTCTGTCATTGGGAAATGTCAAGGTAAGTAATTTTTACACTTATCCAGAAAAAAATACAAAACAAATCCTATCAAAAGCAGTTCTAACCAAAAATTCCAGTTTGGTTTCTAGCTACTGCATCCTATTTCCTCTTTGTTTCTTTATGTTTCTCCTTTTCTACAAAAAGGTGATTAATGTTTTGGCTCCGCTAAGCTTGCCCTGGCTTGATTCCCCCTTCTGTTTAGTATCGGTCCCCTTCCACAAGGGTCTAGGACAGGGGTGTCAAACTGCCAGCCCGCGGGCTGGATGTGTCACACAGAAGCCGTGCCCACCCCAGCTCTGGCAAGGAGAAAAAAGTCGAAATGCATCGTGACACGTCATGTGATGTGGCGAGTTTGACACCCCTGGTCTAGGACAGTTCGGCACGGCCAGCTCCCCACAGCCAACTCTTGTAACCGGACACAATTTACACTAATATTGAAGAAATGGTGGAATAGAATCATTAAAGAAAGGATGCAAGGAGTGTCTAAAACAGGAGGTTGGCATTTGCGCAATCCCTAAAATAAGCCAACTTGGTCCTAGTTAGTTTAAAGTTTGGCTTCGGTTTTGCCAGAGTTCACATGATTAGATCTCAACATGTCCTTTGATGAGAAAAGCATTGTCTGGATCCGCAACATGAACAAGCCATAGCAACTCAAAAGCTCAGTGTGGCTGTTTCATGGCCCTCCTGGCAGGATATCTGAGCAATAACCATGCCAAACCATTGAATGGCTACTTCACGCTTTTGTACTATGAGACCAGAGTAATGGCTTGTTTGTTGAGAAACCTACATTGGCAGGGTTTTGTCTCTGATTTTGAGGCATACGGACCCAAAGAAATAGAAGAGAAACAGACTGTATGAGCCCTGATATAAGGGAGGCCCAAATCAGTAGGTAGAACATGTAATTGCTCTGCCCTAAATAAAGTAATTAGTCAATCACACTTGCCCCTTAAAACATTTATGGATGTAAAATAGGCAAATGAAATAATATTGTATCTTCCTAACTCTTTTTTAAAAAAAAAACCAAAAACCAACAACATAATTTTCAGAGTGATTGTGGAGATACGGTTATAGAAGTACAGCCCTGGTTCCCCCCCCTTCTTTCCCATAACTTTTCAAGAGCTTTCATTATAATTCAGAGCTCTTAGCCTGTGATTGTGATTCATGAGCCCACTTCTACTCCATGGTTCAGAGATTATCAAATCAGCATTACACCGTCCTTCGATGCAGAGTAGCTATAAAACAAAGTAGTTATTTTTAGAATGGCTTTGCCCTAGGGAACATTGGAACGTCTATTCTGCTATGCAACTGTTTAAAAGTTGTAGTTTGGGAAAAAGAGATTTTTGCTAACCTTTTGTGATTTGAAGTTTTATCTATTATCTACTTCTTTGCCATGTAGTCCCTAAAGATCCGAATCCCCAGTGGAGATGTGTTGCGTGGAGTCATGATTGCACTTTGCTTGCCTATGGTGAAAGCACGGGAACTGTTCGAGTATTTGACTTGGTCGGCAGTGAACTCTTCCTCATCCAGCCGGTATTTTCTTTTCCTTTCCAAGCTTTACAAGTCCAACTACCATTCAGTGAAACCTTCTTAGCCATTGCCGCTTTAACGTCTTAAGTTGAGAACTTGCATTGTTACATGCTTTGTGGCTCATTTGGTTGACTTGCTATTTTGCACGTGTGTTTGGTAAACTTGCATCCTTTGTTTGCAGATGTTTGAACAAGGTATACTTAATTTTATTTATGTCAACAAGGCTGCTGGTATTGGCCTAAAGTTGCTGCTGGTCTCTAAAATAATAATTCCAAACAGAATATCATTTAGCACCAGTTACTTTCATACTGGAAGGCAGGCATGCATTTATTTATTATTTATGTCACCGTATTATTTTGTAAATAACTCAATGTGGTGAACCTACCTAATCCTCATTCTTCCTCCCATTTTCCCCACAATGACAATTTTGTGAGGTGGCTTAGACTGAGAGAAAGTGAATGACCCAATGTCACCCAGCTGCCTTTCATGCCTAACATAGAACTAGAACTCACAGTCTCCTGGTTTCTAGGCCAGCACCTTAATCACCACACCATACTGGTCAGAAATTGCAATTGCTACAATATAATTTTAAAGAATCGTAAATATGCTAACTAGACTTTTCTAATAGGCCTGTTATCAAACACTGAAAAATGCAGGAACGGATGGATTTTGAAAAAAGCATCTAAGTCACGGGTGTCAAACTTGCCACGTCATGTGACGTGTCACGACTCTTTTTGCATTGCCAGCAATGGGGTGGGCGCGGCTTCGGTATGATGAAACGGGCCGGCAGTTTGACACCCCTGATCTAAGTGGAAGAATTTTCACTTACTTCTTTTTACTGTATTAAGGTGCTATTAATAAGCATTAATAATGCTACATGATGAAATTTCTTTGTTGTCAGTAATAGGAATGCATATTCTCTATAAAACATTAGGCTTGCATTTAATAATATATCATTGAGAGATGGATTTTTTTTAAGTTTGGTTTCAATTAGAAAATGTTTTCTACTGTTTGAAACCCTTTTAACTTCTTTGCTGAAAAAACCCTGTTTTTGTTTATTTTTAATAGGACACTAGTTTCCCAGGGGACTTGACTTACGCCATTGCAGGATTGATCTTCCTGGAATACAAAACCAGCGCTCAGTGGTCAGCTGAACTGTTAGTCATCAATTATCGTGGTGAGCTGAAAAGCTACCTAGTGAGGTAAATACAATTTAATGTGTCTACCAATAATTTATTGGGAATCCTATTTCATAAAATAAGTCCTGTGTTGTTGTTTTTCTGATCTAGTGTTGGAACAAATCAGAGTTACCAGGAGAGCCATGTTTTCAACTTTAGCAAGCACTATAGTAATGGAATAACTGGAGTACTTTATCATCCTGCACATCGGTAAGATTGAGTAATTTAAATATTTTAATGAAGTAGCCAGGGGCTTGATAACATTTAGTTGTCATCCCCCACTCCTTTTGAAATGTTTGATTGCAGTGAGATAATTAATAAAAGCAGTCACTGGCACTTAGCAAACATTAGTAATAACGTTTCATTTGGTTTTGGAAGGGTAATAGATGGTCTTTGTTGCTATATTAATCCTAAAGTCTCTGGGATCTTCTGGAACTATTGCACCAGTGCAAGAAGATTTAAATAAAAGTTAGTGTATGTCAGGCATGAGTAACGTGGTGGCCAAGTAGTAAAGATGTTTGCCTCCCACTCGGAAGGTTGAGAGTTCAATTCTAAGTAGCAGCAGATATTTCTCTCCTAGGGTGCAAAGAAAAATATAGCTGCTGCGAACTCCATGTGGCATCAGGAAGGGCATCCGGCCAGTAAACACTTGGCATCATTCAGCCCCTCCGACTCTACCCCGAATTAAGGAATTAGATAGTGATAAAAAGAGACTCTTTTTAGTGTATGGCAGGCATGCACAATTGTCAGCTTGCAAGGTAGTCCTGACAAGAAGCACACCCAGAAGTACAGCTCTAACTTTTTATAACATTTTAATTTTATAAAATAGATCTTGCAGTTCTTCCCCTTCACCTTTACAGTTTAAGAAACTAGGGAAGGTCCCTTCTGAGATGTTGGCCATTCCCCTATTTGTTGTGAAGGCTAAACTGCAATTTGTCTGACCATTGTCTAGTCCAGGGGTATCAAACTGCCAGCCCGCAGGCCGGATGCATTATAGAGAAACCGCGCCCACCCCATTGCCGGTAATGGCAAAAAAGTTGCGATACGTCATGACACGTCACGTGATCTTGCGAGTTTGACACCTCTGGTCTAGTCTGTAGCTTTTCTTCTTGTCTCCCAAGGTCATTGCCACATACCATTACAACAATTTCCATTGGGTGAGGGGGCTATGGCAAATTTTGCATAATAAGCGGTCTGGGATAAAGCAACAGAACATTATGAAGGCTATACAGGTAGTCCTCGACTTAACTACGGTTCATATAGTGACTGTTCAAAGTTACGACGGCACTGAAAAAAGTGACATACGACCGTTTCTCACACTTACGACCATTGTAGCATCCCTATGGTCAAAATTTGTATGCTTGGCAACTGGTTCATATTTATGAGCATTACCATGTGCAGGAGTCACGAAATCAGCTTTTGTGAACTTCTGATAAGCAAAGTCAGTGGGGAAACCAGATTCACTTAATTGTGCCACTAACTTAACAACTGCAATGATTCACTTAACAACTGTGGCAAGAAAGGTCATAAAATGGGACAAAACTCACTTAACAAATATTTCACATAGCAACTTGGGGCTCAATTGTGGACGTATGTCGAGGACTACCTGTATACCTTTGATAAACAAGTTCTGTGTGTATGCATTTATTTGCCTGCTGCTGTAGCCAGATAGTGAAGAAAATCCCTCTAATGAAATAAAATTTGTTTGACCCAACTTGATCTTTCAATAAATATATGGTTCTGTTTCATATTGCATATATCCCTTATAGGTCTCTGATGAGTAGTTTGCTGAATCTAATAATTGAAAGTAAAGCAGAATCATGTGGAAGTAAGCTTCCAAATTAATTTTTGCTATGGATGATGACCTATTTTTTAGTCCAGAACATTTTTTTTCCTCTAGAAATATTACCAGCCAGTATTTTAACTCTCTACTAAACCATTGAAAAATGATGTTGATTATTGGGAAGATGGTTGGCAAAAATCCGCACATTGTGTCCCATTTGCAATTTTATCCATAAAACAACCTGGAGCTTACATTGTGGCCTCATTACCCAGCTGTCCATGACCACATGTGGCCTCTGGGGGGGGGAGCTGCAGGTCAGCTACACCTGCTCTAATGAGTTCTGCGATTTGCATTATTTAAAATTGGAGTGCAAATGATATTTCTTGTTTCTTATTTCTCTTCTTGTTGTGAATACTTTGAACTTTGCTGAAAATATTTATTTCCGGGTTCTTTTATCACTTTTCCCTAGAGAATATGGTCTTGAGTTGTCATTGTTCTTCAAAATGTTACACATTTTTGAAAGGGAACATGTTTACAAGTTTTAAAAGTTAGCCATCTGCTTTGTATTGCTGATTACAGGTAGTCCACGAATTACAACAGTTCATTTAGTGACCATTTGATGGCACTGGAAAAAGTGACTTATGACCTTTTTTCACACCATTGCAGCAGCCCCAGGATCACGTGATCAAAATTCAGACGCTTGGCAACTGGCTCATATTTATGACGGTTGCAGTGTCTCCGTGTCATGTGATCACCTTTTTCAACCTTCTGACAAGCAAAGTCGGGGGAAGCCAGATTAGCTTAACAACTGCAGTGATTCATTTAACAACTGTTGCAACAAGGGTCGTAAAATGGGGCA